AAGTAAATTAAGTTGATATAAACAACGTGCTACTATAATAATAACTAAAGATATAATACATGGTTGCAGCTTTTTGTTTCTTTTTTTTAAACGGTTTCATACTATGAATTTTGACTAAAATTCAGTCAACGATATCATCTATAAATTGATAAATCTATATGAATGACCTATACTACTAATATTAGTATAATTACTATTTATCTTAAGTGAATAATATTCACTACACAGACAATGTATTTTCTCATTTCACTGCTCACTCAGGAAATGTGTATACATTTATTGCAGTTGACAAAAATATCTTGTTATATAGCAGACCAATGATTAACCACTTGCTAACACTGAAGTGTTTTTATGCATTTTAAGTAGTTTGTCAATTGAAAAAAATTATCACTTGAAAATTTAAATTAATTATTTTAAAAATGTTTTCCTGCTTTAATTTGATGATAGACATTTCAAATTAATACAACTTTATTCATTTACTTGTAGATCGATAACTGCTTTTGTTTGTTTTAAAGAACTGCTCGTCAATATCTACTTCTTTTAAAATATGCTTTTTTTTGTTTGCTAAAGTTTTCTAGATTGATCAGAATTAAACATTAAAACACCGTTGGATGACAGTCGTGTGGTCAATAGGTTAGGCGTTCGCACTTCAGACTAACTGTCCTGAGTTGGCAACCTGTGAGTAGCAGGAGTCATGGATGCGCATAGCTGATGAGAATCCCATGTACCAGGACGAAACGGTCGTCGAATGCCTTCAGGTTTCTAATGGTGGTCTAACAATCAATCAGTAATCAATAATATGCGGAAATATAAATTTACATTCGATTACACAATTAATTCTGTTCAATTTACATCATCCATCATTTTATTGTAGTGATCTACTTCTTGGATAAACTGTTTAACACAGAACTCATAAATGAAGCACGTAAACAATAAAATGAAAACAATTTTATCTTGTAACAACTTTATTACTATGCATTAAAAGATTTTGTAATTGATCAATGACACTTCTGTTTATCAATGTAAATTTTTTTTTTGAAGAAAGAAACAAACTGGTGTTTGATGATATCTTGTCATAATGTTGTGGTAAATTTTTTTTCGTCAACATTTAATAATAATAATAATAATAATACAAAGTGTATAATCTTTCTACTTAATATGTTTGTGTGGTTTTGTTTTGTTGTTTAAATGTTGAAATATCTTGTTCTCACCTACATTAAAGTAGTTTGATAAATCATTAAAAATCTTGTCGCCGAAGTGAATAATCAGATAAATAAGAAGTGATTTAAGAACTCGAAAATGAAGATTATTATCTAAGTGATTTGATCATGATTGAATCAACAAAAAAAGGAATAAATGTGATGATCAATAGCTCCGGCAGTTTTTTTTGTGTGCATTGAATTCCAATCTACTAGTCTAAATGTTTGATGAACACATTGTTAAAAAAAGGTTAATGTATTGATGAGGAATCATAAACTCGGTTAGACATAACACTGTGAAATCCCTATATTAATGAATATCTAGAGAGTTTCTACATTAAATTATAGTTATTACGTTTTAGTTGATGAAATGGTTGAAATGGTTGGTCTGACACTGATCAATTCTTGATTTCAAATGTATAACTTAACAGTCTTCACAACCCCGTAATGCGATTTTAATTAACTCTACATCAAAAAACCCTTACTGAAACCATACAATACAGATCGTTGGGATTGAACTTATTAGCTAGTTGAATGGCACGATGTTTACCATAAAGTGTATACGGATCTTAAGTTCATTTCTGTATGAGTTCACAGTTGTAAATGTTTTGTGATTTAATTAAGCTAAACGGATGTTTGGTCAAATTATACGAACTCATGATGAAAATAATCTGCACATGGATTTCTATGAAAAAAAAAAAACTTTCATGGCTATAACAACCAGAAGTGTTTAGTCTTGAATATTTTTTTGTTAGTGAATAACTTGATCATATGAACATATGAAGAAAGCTAGGGGCAGCCAGGCCAAAACATGGCACAAATCCATGAAATCACTAACAAGTGGACTGAGTCATGTTGGTAAATGTAGGCTACCTGGTTGGGGTCCGAAAGTCACTAATGGTTAGAGACCCTGAATGACATGGCTCAAATCGTTTGCAATCGCGCAGATGCATTCATTCATTGTGTTCTCTCAAATTCTAACCTTGTGAATTCCTCATCTCTGTATTTCGCTTCCTAAAGTTATCTCACTGAACTATACTTCTCGAATCATATCTTCGAACCCTAATCTTCTCTATTACTGCTAATACTTCCACTATCTCTACCAATATGGAATTTTAACTGACAGTTGCGTGTGTGCTGATGCTGATGTGGTATGGCAACTTGAACTGATGTTCATATGCACGAAGTTCTACGTTGTAACTGACTGACTGATCATATGAACACATAAGATATTTCTTAAAGAATAATTCTCAAGTCTCATCATTATTCAAACAGTTTTAGTTTGTATTCATTTTTTATAACCAACTAAGTGAAAATGAATATCTTTGAATATTTACTAATAACAATGTTATGCAGGGGAAAATTCAACTCACTGATGAACGGTAGATATATATGTATATATGAATAATAAAACTATTTAAAATTCATAATTACTATCAATAAAATAAAATGTATGATGAGATCAAACAAATTTTTCTGCGAAAGTTACCACAGCTAGAAAGTTACACACATATTTTAGACACAATTCACTAACTGTTAAACCAGTCACTCTAATTCATACAACGAATTACAGAAATGCGAACACAGCGTAAGTGTACGTAGTGGAAAACTAAAAACTGATAATAAAGATCTATTTGAAATCATGACTGGTCGGCAGTGCGCATCCTACACCTCGCAGGATTCGAACACAAGACCTTCACTCTTGCGCGTGAACGTCTAACCTCTAGACCAATGAGCCGGTACCTAAAGGTGTTAATGTCTAACTTCAAACAATTCACGGCCTTGTCAAACCCCATACACTGTCTTCCGTAGTTACTTTCTCTACCCGAACAGGTTGAACTTCACTGGTCACGACTTCCCACTGGGGACTCGGAAAAGATCCCTCACGGAGTTAGTCACTAGTGAGCACAGGTAATTGCATTACGGGGTTGTGAGGAGTGTTGAGTTACACATTCGAAATCATGAATCGATCAGTGTTAGATCACCATCAGAAACTTAGAAGCACTGGAAGGCCGTTTCGTCTTGATATGAGACTCATTAGGAGTGCGCATCCACGACTGCTGCACCTCACAGGATTCCAAACCAGGACCTTCCATCTACTCCTAAAATAAGTCAAAATTTGATTAAAGAATACATTGTATTTTATATGATTTATTTACTGTCAGATATGTAGACATTGAACGAAAATGTATTTAACAATAATAATAATAATAATAATAATAATAGTAATAATTCAATAACTGTACATGTATATGTTTACCGTAATTACATAATCAAGTATCTATAGTTTTTTCTTAGGATATCAATACATGTCACACACACATAAGAAGTAAACAGTTATAATTTCCATTCACAGTTCAGTTCATTGAACTATTACCAAACATATCACTGATAAACAATAAGTTCCCTAAATTATTTCTCTAATTGTTTTTTTTTCTCTGGAAAATAGTTCATTGTATATGGCTTATTTATAAGTAATTTCTCAGAATAATAGATTACAATTTGATAAGCTGAGATTGTGAGCTTGAAATAACCTGTTAAATACAGAAATGAGAAAACACTTGAAGACGTCGTACTATTTGTAATAGAATTCACAATATCTCTCTAAAATACATAACTTGGATTAATCTGTAACTGAGTGTTACTCTGTCCATCTTCATTACTAATTAAGCAATTAATTATCGATCAGTTTGAACTTTTTTCCAGTTGATTTATCGAATCAAATTAATTTACTGCTCTCCTTGAAGAAGAAGAAACTTTAGTGGTTACCGAGTCGAGATTTACTATGATCACCACAAATTACTGATTACTATCCCGTCACAATGAAAACAAATAAATTCAGAGTAAAGAATATATTTGGAAGAGAAAACTGGCGTCATAGGGAGGGAGCAGCAAGTTTTGAATGATGACAGCAACGCAAAAACAGAAAGTCGCGAGTAAGCAAGTGTTTTTTGTTTAACTGTACTAGAGACCATAACTCGCGCGCCAAGCGTGTTCCCACCATTGCTCGTTTTCCTTGGTGGTTGTTAGCTGCTGCTTTATTCCGGTCTTGATATCTTTTTGATATCATGAGACAACGAATCAATACATCTCGTCATCCAATCATGGTCTTCCTCTTAATTTCTGGATTTAACGGGATTTTAGTTGGTAATCTCGCGATAAGTAGTCTCAGTCTCACTATAAAACAATCTGATATTCAGATAACAAAAGTTAAATGAATGAGTCATACCAATTAGAAAATGATAAATCTCCAACTCCAATCTGCTGTGTTTTTTTATGATGGACACTAGTTGAATAGCAAATTCATTTGTATAATTTAAAAAAAACAAACAGAATATTCCTAAGTGAGCTTTAATTTAATTGGTCAATCTATTTCCTTAAATGATTAGGGAAATTACAAAATTTATTTAAGAACCAATTAAAAATCAAAGATTGGTGAGAAATATATAAACATTCCCATTCAAATAATTCAATATCCTTTTCAAACTAGTGTTTTGCGCTTCAGATTTTATTATCCCCCTGTCAATTTCAAATAAATGTTAATTGACTATTGGTTAAAAAGATAACTTGAAGTGTATTGTGGTTAAAAAAATATTCACCGAAAATTAGGAGAGAAGTCAATTGGTTTAGGGTGGGGTGGGATACTGGAAAAAGTTAACACTTCAACATATGAATAAAATCTACTTAAAGTAACCTTTATCAATTGAAACACCATATTAAGTGTGATCATTTAGTTCAATTAAACTTAACATTTGTTAAATTCATAAACTATTTTAATATTTTATCAATCATTATACAATTATGAATGGAAAAAGTCAACATTTTCTTGTTAGTCGATTGTTAGAAGATAATACCAATAATAGATTTGATAATGAAATATCGTCATCATCATCATCAAAAAATCCAATCGAAAATAGTTTAGATGATATTTACAATGTGGTTGATGATGATGATGAGAATAGTGATGATGAATATTCACCACAAATCAATATGGATGAATTCATTCGCAATAGTAAGTTTTATGCTTTTCATAAAAACACTGTATATCATAAAGTTTATTCGTAACGTAATCAATGATCAATATGTGTGTTTTATCCCAAACCCTTAGTAAACTTGTCGTGCTCAATACATATTAGTGAGTAATATTCATTAAAAAAATTCAATTTCAAATTGTAATCGATACTGTGTATGTGTTTTTCATTCTGCATCCCACTAAGTTGTTTAAAACAAATCAAAGTGGACACCTCTTAATACTTAAATGAAATGTTTAGTTTAGCAGCCAATCACTCGAAGAATTTAAAATGATCAAAAATACTTGGCACAGTACGTATATTGAACATTGAAAGATATTGAATATAAATTTAGCTTCATCAATGAAACAATTCATGGATTCATTCATAAAGCTGATAACTAAAGTTTCCGTACTGTAAATAATTCTTCACATAAATTAACAGAGAAAAATAATTAAATTTATGGTCCTTGATTTCAAAAGGGTTATTCATTAAATCAATATTGTTTACTAATATGATATTTATATATATAATACCATTGTGATATCTTCTGATACACATCTAATTGGATTAGTTGATGAAACTGAAATAGTGTAAGTCGAAAGAAAGTAAAAGTGAAATACTTACTATTCAACAATGATTAACAAGTTTTCATTTGTCAACAGTTTCATGTATGTGATAATATTTCCTCTTAGAAGTTAATTAATCGGGTGGATAATATGAGAAACAATTCACTTTTGAATACCACGCATAAATTTTAGAAAGGTCAGAAATTTATATATATATATATATATATATATATATATATATATATATATATATATTTATTTATTTATTTATTTATGTTATATTATTTTTAACCATTTAAGATTGAAATGAAATGTGTTTAAGTCAGACTTAGTAAACAGCTGTGTCATTTTAAGATATTATTTTTATGTATTAAAAACAACTTACAAACAGAAATCATGAATCAGTCATTGTTAGATCACCATTAGAAACCTGGAAACACTGAATGGCCGTTTCGTCCTGGTATGAGACTCATCAGAAGTGCACATTCACGACTCCTGGTACTTTCAGGATGATCTATATAATTCTTGTTGAAAAATCGTACGATCTTCTCACTAGTAACTAGCTTTATGAGTAAATTCACGGAGTTCCAGTGAGAAGACGAAACCAGTGAAACTCAACCATTTCGGGTTTAAGCAGTAATTACTGAAGAAAAATAGGTGAGGTCACGGAGAATCCTTAGACTGATTAAAGTTTGACATTAACATCAATGGTTCAGGGTTATTTAAGCAATAAGCAATAAGATTACACTTAGATTCCAACAGTTATGAATGATGACGCAAATTTTTTTGAAAATCAATATTCTCAAATAATAGATTGCAATCTACTTGGTAAATATTAATGACTTAAAAAGCATGGCAATACAAGGTTTTGTTTTATATATGTCAAAATAAGAATTACATACTTCAAGGATGAATCGTCTAATACTTATCGTAAAAGCTTATTCATTAAAACCTTTGAAAAAAAACTAAAAGTATCTACATGAATCTGTTTGCTAGAATGTTCCATATTATAAATTTATTGAATAAACTGTAGTCATTGTAATTATCAGGTTTCTTTTAAAAGTGATAATGAGTCATGATATTAAACGTGTAATATACTACTTACAGAGTTCATAATACTCATTAAATATTTTTAAAATAAATAAATAAACTCATTATTTGTTTAGTTGAAGCGGTTTTATGAAAATTGGTTTAACTCGTAGATTGAATTCACCACAGACAAATCTCATTTGATGGAATTTAATTCCAAACCTGCGGGGTGCAGGAGTCGTGGGTGTGCACTACTGAAGAGTTCCATACCAGGACGACACGGCCATCCAGTGCTTCCAGGTTTCTAATGGTGGTCTAAAATTGATTGATTCATGATTTCAAATGTGTAACTTAACAATCTTCACAACCCCGTAATGAGAATTTAAACATGTTAGAAATGACAAAGTTATGATTGGATGATTGTCATACCAGTTCTCCCCAGATTGATTCAGTTTAGAATTGTACCACTGGTTTCTAGCCCAATAATACATCATGGTTATATGTTCATCGTGAAACTTTGTGGGTCATGAGTTTGATCACTGATGGGATCGTTTATGGACAACACCACGGACTCCTATACCAAGACGAAATAGTTAACTCATGTTTGATGGTTTTCAATGGTACTTCAACTGTGATCAATATATTGTTTATTATTTAGTTTTGACGTACTTTAATAATTTACAGATTTATGAAATTAACAAAAAAACGTTTTATTCATTATCTTAATCATCAAATTTTGTTTTCTGATCACAAACAAACATTACGTTAAGTCTATCATTAGGAATCTAACCATTTAATGAATAAATACTTTCTCTGTCTTTTTTTAATTACATTTCTATGCAACACTGTTATCTGGAAATTTTCTTTCTTACAATTAGTAAGATTTATACCATTTAGAATTGTACAATACTAGATGTTTTTCAATAACAATAATAATAATAATAGTCCACAGATTTTTATATACATTCTTACTTTATTTTATGTGATCTTCTAAACGGATTGATACAATTCTAATTGTTTCAGTGAAATATTTAATATATGATTCATAAAACAAAGGACTATTGAAATTCATTCAATAAGTTTCATAGGAATATATGAAGTTTATCAATATCGTGACATTCTCCATTATAGGGTTATGGAGAACTGTTGAATTTCATTGAAATCATGAATTGATCAATTTTAGTCTGCCATTAGAAACCTGGAAGTACAAAACGGCTTTTTCGTCCTCATCAACATTGCTCTTACTAGTGACTAGCTTCGTGAAGAAATTTCTCCAAGTTCTAGCGAGAAGTCGTTTCCAGTGAAGATCACTCTTTTTGGATATGAAGCAATGCCCACCGAAGACATTAGATAAGGTTGCGCAATGACTTGGATTGATCGAACTTAAGCATTAACATCGTCCGATGCTGACTCAATGGTCTAGAGTGTAAGCGTTCGCATGCAAGATCTAAGGTCATGGACTTAATTCCCGAGAGCTGGGATCGTGTATGCAAACTGTTGATAACTCCCATACTAGAACAAAATAGCCATCCAGTACTTCTAGGTTTCTAATGGTAGCCCTAAAATTGATCGACTCATGATTTTAATTACTTAAAATCATCAATCTATCTATTTAACGAACACAATGTGAAAATCTTATTTAGTTTAAATATATAATATCGACTAAATTATTGGTAATACTTTGAATGATTCCAATTCTTACTGATTGATGCTTAAATGACAATTCATTTCAAATAATTCATTGTGGTCACTCAACACAATGGTGATATTAGTTGTGAAGTAACATCTGAATGAATTTGCTTCAGGCAGTTTCGAACCGATTATCTCTCTCTCTGTAGATATATATATATACTCATTTATTTCACATGATTCAGTTGCTTTGATTCGGCTCATCGTCTCCGCCTACTTTTTTGTGTTGTGTATATGTCGATATCATCAATTTCATACCTGTATTATTTATTTATTGATCATGATTCTATCAGTTCTGTGTATCTTAGTGTTGTGATGTTTTAGTGTGTTTTTTTCATCAACCAAAAAAATCATTAGAGCATGTGAATGAATCATGAATATCTGATTGTTGACTGGTTTTTATCCCCCCTCCCTACCCACTTCTCCTTCTTCTACGATCTATTTATTGATTGATACAACTTAGCAATAATGATGATCACGCAATTTCAATGGTGTTATTTCATTCAATGACATGCTTAAGCATTGAGTTGACAATAAGTATTTATGTACATACATATATATTAGATAAGTTTAATTTTTTTGAAAAAAAAATATATTTTAAGGCAGAAACACGATCGACACATAGTGACTGTGCTAGTTTAATTGACTGCCAGCATTACATAAGCGGATTATACACATTTTGACAAAGAAACAAACAGATTGACAACTCGTGGACAGTTTACCTGTTGTTGTGATTGTTGTTGATTTGTTGCCTCAAAGATGATTATACTCTAGAAAGAGGAATGTCTGAATTCTACATACATAATCATTTGATCTGACATTTTGTATCCATTTGAAAATATTTTGAATTTGATAGGATAAAATCAAATAAAAATATATCTTACGACAGCTAGTCAAAAAAAGTAATTTTTTGTTAGATAAATGTTGAATTGAATTGAACGGACAGATTGAAGTACTAGTAGGCGTTTGTGATTTCAGGCTTCTGATACTCAAAACTTTAATTTCATCAGTCTCTCTCGACATATATACTATATGGTCAATAAAGAAACCTGGTAGGAGTGTTTCATTCCCGTTAGAACTCATCAGCTAGATATACTTGCATCCCAGTATTGATGTTCACAATGAAACTCGAATCCAGTACCTTATACTTTAACCATTAACACGTTATCCACTGAACTACTAAGTCCTGATAGCCACTAGCTCAACAGCATCAAGTACTGTTTGTCGAGTTTTAATGTTTGACTGAGATCAATCAATGAAGTATTTAGTAGTGGCTATAATCTTTGAACATTTTAAATATGGTACTGTAGTGAAGCAGAACACAGGTGAGGGCAACCGAATTGTATTTAACGGAAATTACAGAGTTACTCAGTAAAATAGGAAAACCATATCGTAAACGGTTAATTTGCAAATCTTCAACCCATCATCAATCGATTGTCTGACATTTCACTATTCATGCGTTTCATACAAATTCCATTGTGTTCCCACTCTTCCTTTCTTGATCTTCCCCCATCTTCTGCTGCCAGACATTACGTTTACACTCGCGTCATATACTACTTATAAGTAGAGCGCACCACAGTACTAAGTAGCGATCAATTTTCATTTGTAAGATAAAGAATAATTTAAGTTTGTTTTTTTTTCATTTATTTGGTGATTATTTTTTTAAAAATTCAATAGTGATAACCTATCAAATTGATATGTACATCATTCTATGT